TGGCAGGAGCCAGGTGCTCTCCTGGTCTCCCATGGGGTGCAGGGCCCAAGCACTTGGGCCATCACTCCACTGTACTCACTGCACTCCCTGGCCACAGCAGAGAGCTGGCCTGGAAGAGGGGAAACCGGGACAGAATGCGGCTCCCCGACCGGGACTAGAACCCGGTGTGCCGGTGCCGCAAGGCGGAGGATGAGCCTAGTGAGCCGCGGCGCCGGCCCCACATGGCCTCTTGTGCCCTAAGCTCCCTGGGACTCCACCCTGCCTCACTGACGGTGGCGTGTGCTGTGTCGGGGACACATGCATGTTGGGATGTCTCTCTGGCTGGGACATGAGCACCCTAGGGGATCGTAGCTGCAAGATGGGAACGGTTCATCCCTTCTCTCTCATTTAGAACTTGCAACATTTGGTTTCGAAGGTTACCAGCTCCAGTCGAGCGGTCAGTTCCGTAGTCTGAGTCAGGGCTTTCAGAGGGAACAAAATCCAGAATTTTCCACCCGAGGGCCATTCCCTTTTTCCTCTGTGGGGAAATTCTGTGTCAGGGCCTGCCTCTTCTCGTGGCTTCTGTGGGTTTAGATTCACCTTTGATGTTCAGGTACTGCTTTTTAAATTCTGCCCCCCTCCCCTTTGTTTCTTTTTCAATCACTTTTTTTTTAAAAAAAGATTTATTTATTTGAAAGGCAGAAGGCCGGCGCCGTGGCTCAATAGGCTAATCCTCCACCTGCGGCGCCAGCACACCGGGTTCTAGTCCTGGTTGGGGCGCCGATTCTGTCCCAGTTACCCCTCTTCCAGCTCTCTGCTGTGGCCCGGGAGGGCAGTGGAGAATGGCCCAAGTGCTTGGGCCCTGCACCCCATGGGAGACCAGGAGAAACACCTGGCTCCTGCCATCGGATCAGCGTGGTGTGCCAGCTGTGGCAGCCATTGGAGGGTGAACCAACAGCAAAAGGAAGACCTTTCTCTGTCTTTCTCCATATCACTGTCTAGTGTGAGTGGGAATCAGAATCGGAAACAGGGACTGGAACGCATGCGCTCTGATGTGGGG